GATCATGCCAGCCCTCGATGGTTGATGAAACAATCCGATCTTAGCGGTCGTTTAGCGCGCTGGGCGCTAAAATTACAGGCGTTCACCTTTTCGATCGAGCATCGCAAAGGATCCGCTAATATAGTCCCAGACGCACTGTCTCGTGTAAATTCAGATAGTATTGATGAGATAGGAATGCCATGCGAAAATGCACCCGCTATAGACCTAAATTCTTCAGAATTCGACAGTACTGAGTATAATTGCCTAAGAAAAAGACTTAAGCGCCACGAAGCAAAGTTTCCTGACTTCAAGATATTAGATAAGTATATTTACCACCGCACTGAGTTTTATAGTCCTGAAGCAGAACAGCAAGAAGCTGCTTGGAAGCTCATGGTACCTATTGCTCTTCGAAATCAAGTTTTCCATAACGCACACAACATAGATACAGCTGCTCACGGGGGAGTCGCAAAAACGGTGGAGAGGATCAGACGATTTTACTATCGGCCTGGCATATATCGTTCAGTTAGGGAATATGTGGCAGGATGTGAAGTTTGCCAAACAACAAAACATTCGACCAAAGTGCTAAGACCACCCATGGGTAATTTTATACCGACAGAACGAATATTTCAGAGAATTTATATTGATCTCTCCACAATCCAAAAGTGGCCATATCGGAATACTAATAGTATTGGATCGCATGTCAAAATTTACATTCCTTTGCCCGCTGAAGCATTTTACCACCTCGCCCATAGTTACCTTTTTGAAACAACAAGTATTTGATACTTTCGGCGTTCCGGAGTTCATTGATAGTGACAATGGACGCCAATTTCGCTCGCGCGAATTTGAAAGCTTCCTCAATAAATTTAGCGTTAAACATGTATTGTCAGCGATATACTCTCCCCAAAGTAATAGTTCGGGATCTGCATTTAAGCAGCATAAACTGTGCCTTAAGGAATTCTATTCACCAGACGATTAACCAGACTCCGTTTTATGTTGTGTTTGGTCAACATATGATGACACACGGACAGGACTATCAGTTGCTAAGAAACATTGAAATTATCGAGGAAGGAAAGGTTACAGATCAGGCGAATAGATTTGATAAGCTTGCACATGTGAGGGTTCGGTACGCGAGAATATTCAAAAGGCTTATGAAGTAAATGCTCAAAGATATAATCTCCGTTCTCGCCCGGTAACTTACGATGTTGGCCAACTAGTTTTAAGGAGAAACTTCACTTTGAGTAGCGCACCGAAACAGTTCAGTAGTAAGCTAGCGAAAACTTTTTTAAAGGCGCAGGTTCGAAACAAGATTGGAAAGTCGTGTTATGTTTTAGAGGACAAGTCCGGTAAAAAACTAGGAACTTTCCATGCTTAGGATATGCGAGCTGTTGAATAAATGCACAAAGCTTGCCTACGCCCTTTCTCAGCTTTTAAAAACGATTTATTGTTCTATATTTTTAAAACCTGTTTTGTGAGGCCTGTTTGAGGCGTGGCC